CTCCAGTGGGTTTGCAGAGGCAGTGCACTGTGCAGGGGATTGCCCATCCTTCTCCTGCAGAACAACTGGTGGATTTGAGCAAGGTGCCTTTGAGATTGCAATGCAGCTTCTCAGCACTAGGCAGCCAGAGCTCCCTGAGGATCACTTTAAATTGTAGTCAACTCGATGGCACCTAACATATTTGTCTTGGAGCAAGTGCAACTAGGGTGCACCCCAGAGGCAAGGATGGTGAACCTTTGTCTCAGATGCTTTGGGCATGTTGTCGGGAGGCATCAGTCCTTGGAAAAAACCATCATGCTAGAAAAGGTAGAGGGGGAGCAGAAGAAGGGGAAAGCATCAAGGAGATAGACTGACAGACACAGTGACTGCAACAATAGACTTGAGTGTGATGGAGATAGTGAGGGTGGGGCAAGATAGAGCAAGGTTCCAATCTGTTCTTCATAGGGGGGCCTATGGGTCATAGCTGACTCAACAGTACATAACAGCAAAAATGTATATATTATCGCATCTCAATGTCAAGAAAACAAAGATTCTTACCGCTGGACCAATAGGAAGCATCATGATGGGTAGAGAGGAGAAACTGTCAACAACTTCATCTTGCTTGGGTCCACAATTAACACCTCCTTGGTACCAGCAGTCAGGAAATAAGGAGACACATTGCACTGGGAAAATCTGCAGTTAGGTCCCTCTCAAGATTATTGAAGAGTAATGATGTCAATGTGAGGACTAAGGTGTGTCTGATTCAGACCATAGTCTTTCTGGTAACTTTCTATGCATCTGAGAGCTGGACAGTGACTAAGGATGACAGAAGAAGAATCAGTGCCTTTGATTTGTGATGCTGGAGAAGAGCACTGAATATCCCATGGATGGCCAAGAAAACAAATAGATAATGTCTTGGAGAAAGTGCAGCACAAGTGCTCCTTAGAGGCAAAGAAGATGAAGCTTTGTCTCATGTACTTTGAACATGTTCCTAGGAAAAGTTATTCCTTGGAGAGGGACATCATGCTTGGGAAGGTGGATGGATGGTGAAAGACAGAGGAAGACCCTCAAACCAGGTGGGTTGGTTGATTTGGTGACTATGGCAATTGCCTCGAGGGTGTCTTAGATTGTGAAAATGGCACAGGATAGGAGAGAGTTCAGATCATAGGGTCACCATGAGTCATAATTGACAGGATGGCACCTAACAAAAATAATTGTATATTGTGTACTTAGATATAATATCATATAATTATACATTTTATACTGGGAGCTCTGGTGGCCTACGGGTAAGGAGATGCACTGCCAACCCAATGGCATTTAAATCCACAAGCTGCTCCTTGAGAGAAAGATGGGCAGTCTCCTCTCATGTGATTTACAGCCTCTGAAAACCACAGAGAGTCAACTGGGAGTCATTTCCAACTCACTGTAACATAACAATAACAACACAATTTGATGAGTTGTTGTCATTAGGTGCTGTTGACCACAAGTCATAGCGACCCTATGAACAAAGGTCTGGCCCGTCATGCCCTGTGCCCTCCTTGTCACCTCTGACACACTTGAGCCCATTGCTGTTTTATGGCCGAAAATGCGGGATTCTAAACCCTCAGCCAGAACTTAGGGGGTCATCAAAGTTTCTTTATTAAATGTGTGGGTCAAGAACGTCAGCTACTGCCCAAATCATTCCTAGCCCAAAGGGAAGCAAAGATTGGATTTATGTACAGAGATTGGGCATGGGGGTTACACAGTGTTCACTGTGGTTGGCAGTTGAGATTTCTGCACATTCAGGAGTCGTTGATGTTTCGGATTCCTCATGGATGTCCAGGCCCCGGGTAGGATCAGTTTGTAGTCAGGGAGTGGTAACCAACCGGGTTCAGCATGTAGTAGGGAACATAAACCTTCGCAACACATATCATTGCTAAAATCATTGAGGTGTATATTTTTTTTAAATGGCTGTCAGAGCAAAATAGTTTCTCTAATGCTAACATCTGAAATTCAGGTCTGATACAGGCTATGGTCTTCACAATCACTTGCTTTGCATCAGAGAGCTGGACAATGACCAAGGAGGATAGAAGGAGAATTGATGCCTTTGAGCTGTGGTGCTGGAGAAGAGTATTGAGAATACCATGGACTGCTAGGAAAACAGATTTGTCCTGGAAAGGGTTAAACCGGGTGGCTCCTTGAAGGCAAGGATTCTGAGGCTCCGTCTAACATACTTTGGACATGTGAGGAGAGACCGGTCCTTGGAGAGGGACATCATGCTTGGGAGGGTGGAGGGACAGCGCAGGAGAGGAAGGCCCTCTATGAGGTGGATTGATTCAGTGACTGGGATAATTGGGATGGGAGTGTTAGAGACAGTGCAATTGGCACAGGACAGAGCGGAGTTTAGGGCTGTTGTACATAGGGTTGCTATGAGTCGCAAGCGACTCGACGGCACATAACAACAATTCTAACATCTGTTAGTTAAAACAGAACAACCACTTGGTCAACTGACCGGAAGAGATCTATATTTGTTCCCATTCCAAAGAAAGGTGACCCAACAGAGTGTGGAAACTACAGAAAAATATCGTTGATAGCATATGCAAGGAAGATTCTGCTGAAGATTATCCAAAAACGACTGGGACAGCACATCAGCAGAGAACTGCCAGGAGTCCAGGCTGGGTTTAGAAGGGGTCATGGTACTAGGGATATTGTAGCTAATGTTAGATGGATCTTAGCCAAAAGCAGGGAATACCGAGGAATGTCTGTCTGTGTTTCATTACTATGCAAAGGCATTTGACTGTGTGGATCATAACAAACTGTGTCTGACTCTGAGAAGAATGGGAATCCCAGAACACTTGATTGTGCTAATGCGAAACCTATACTTGGACCAGGAGGCAGTCGTCAGAACAGAGCAAGGAAACACTGCATGGTTCAAAATTGGGAAGGATGTGCACCAGGGATGTGTCCTATCTCCATACCTTTTCATGCAGAACAGATTATTTGGGAGGCTGGGCTCTATGAGGAGAAGTGTGGCATCAGGATTGGTGGAAGATCCATCAACAATCTACGTTATGCAGATGATACAACCCTGCTTGCTGAAACTGAGGAAGACCTGAAACTCTTGCTGCAGAGGGTCAAGGATTGCAGCCTTAAATATGGATTAAGGTTCAATATCAAGAAGACCAAGATTCTCACCACTGGGCCAGCAGGCAGCATTAGGATGGATGGTGAAGAGATTGAGATTGTTCACAGTTTTAGTTTGCTTGGCTCCACAGTCAGCACTCTTGGCACCAGCAGCCAGGAAGTTAAAAGACATATTACAATGGGAAAGTCTGCTGTTAGGGACCTCTCCAGGCTACTGAAGAGCAGTGGTGTCACTCTGGAGACTAATGTGTGCCTGGTACAGGCCATGGTTTTTGCAATCACTTGCCATGCATTAGAGAGCTGGACAATAGCTAGGGAGGATAGAAGGAGAATTGATGCTTTTGAGCTGTGGTTCTGGAGAAGAGTATTAAATGTACCATGGACTGCTAAGAAAAGGGACAGTTTCATCTTGGAGAGGGTTAAACCAGGCTACTCCTTGGAAGCACAGATTCTGAGGCTTCGTGTGACATACTTTGGACATGTTGTAAGGAGAGACTAGTCCTTAGAGAGGGACATCATGCTTGGGAGGGTGGAGGGACAGCGCAGGAGAAGACGACCTTCTATGAGGTAGATTGATTCATGACTTGGGTGATGGGAGTGGGTGTGTCAGAGACAGTGAGATTAGCACAGGACAGAGCAGGGTTTACCCTGTTGTACCTATGGTTGCTATGAGTTGCAAGCAACTTGATGGCACGTAACAACAATGACAATGCTAACATATAAAATGGCTTTTCTAATGCTTAACATTGACACTGCTACCACAACTTTAGTCATTGTGGAAGCAAACAGGAAAAGGAACTAACAACTAAATGTGGAATTTTGAAACTCTGACTCAAATACTTTGGGCATGTTGCCAGGAGGGACCAGTCCTTGGAAAAGGACATCGTGTTTGGAAGGATAAAGGATAAGTGTAGGAGAGGAAGACCTTGGATGAGATGACTTGGCACGGTGTCTGGCGAAGGGGCAAGTGTGTCAGAGACTGTGGGATTAACTCAGGATAGGGCAGAGCTCAGAGCTATTGTTCATAGGGGTCACTAGGACTTGTCAACTCATGGCTCAGAACAACATAGTAGGAAACACTCAAAAGGAAACAGTGGCTGTGAACTATTCTTTAAGCCCCCTTTGGGGGTTTTTGAATGCTAATGAAGCTTGTTATATATTCTATAAATTGAACTTTGCTCATGTAATCATTGTTGTTATGTACCATAGAGTCACTTGTGGCTCATAGCAACCCTGTGTACAACAGCCTTGAAACCTGCTCTATCCTGTGCCCACTTTGCTGTCTGACACACCTACTCTCATTACTCCAGTCACTGTATCAATCCATCTTATCAGTGATCTCCCTCTCTTTCTCCATCCCTTCATCCTCCCAAGCATGATGTCGCTCTCCAAGGACTGATCCCTCCTTGCAGGCCAAAGAATGTCAGATGAAGCCTCAGAATGCTTGCCTCCAAGGAGCAACCTGGCTTCACTCACTAAGTCGAACCTATTTGTTCTCCTGGCAGTCCCATGGTGTATTCATAATCACGTATTTATTTATATGAAAGACATGGTCTTTCAGTCAGTTCTGTGACTTCTTTTTAATATCCAAAGCCAGTGTTTAGTATTAAACCATTATGAATTACTACATACATACATTTGTCTCATATACTTTGGTCATGTTGCTAGGAGGGGCTATTCCTTGGAGAGGAGCATGATGCTGGGAAGGGTGGAGAGTCAGCAAAGGAGAGGGAGACCCTCATCCAGGTGGATTGACATAGAACTGCCACAATAGGCTTTTGTGTGTCAGGAAGTGTGAGGATGACACAGGATAGAGCAGGGTTCCCATCTTCTGTTCATAGGGTCCCTGTGAGTTGTGCTCAATTCATGGGGGTCTAAGAACAGCAACACTTGCCTAATGGCACTTGCAGAATCCCGTTTTCACTAATTGATATTTTTTTTCATCTCTTTCAATTACAGTGATTTGCAAGGAGTAAGAACAAATGCCAAAAAGGATGGAAGTGACTGGATTCTCAATGGAAGCAAGGTGTGTCAGTAGGGGCTCCCAAAGCCATTTGCTCAAAGCTACTCATTTTTAAGTCTATCATGACTAGGGACTCACAGAAATAACTTGTAGTATTTATGAGACTGTAAACAAGTTACAGTTGAGGGAGCTCTGGTGGCCTAGTATCAAGAAACTGTGCTGCAATCCTGAAGGTGTGCAGTTTGAACCCACCGGATATTCCGCTGTAGAAGGATGGGTAGTCTCCTGTGTCAGTCGGATCTGACTCAACGGTGTACAACAAGGGTGTGTGGGGGGGGGAGTGATAGTTATGGTACATAACCTTCATGAGCCTTTTCCATATTCAATTTTGCATATTCCCTCCCTAATATGACAAAAGTCATTTTACCTTTCAAACAGCATTTATCAGACAAGAAAAGGTGAAAGTAAGGCCCACATTGCCAAATATGGAACAAACTAGTTAACTTTGTGTTGATGAGTGACTGGGAAAGAGATTTTTCTCATAAATACCAAGTAGAGTTTCAAAAGATGCCAGGAGGGTCTGTTTGTATAGCGCATGGCGGGCATAGTCCTGTGAGAGGAGTTGGACTCACTGCTATTGCAGCTGCTCCAGGACTTTGAAAAACTAGAGGTGAAGCGGGCAGCTTTGAACTCCAGAGCAGAGGAAGGTTGGTTCTCACTCTCCAAGGCTCGTTATGCCATGGGTGTCAAGTCAGTGGGTCCTCTGCAGTATGCCTCCCACAGGGAGCCCCACTGTTGTGTCCACACTAGCGAGGCTCAGGACAGAGTCCAGAGGCTGTGGGTGGTGATGACGGCCGGTCGGAGCCCGGAGGACGTGGGCCCCCAAGAGCCAGCTCTGCCAAGACGAAAGGGCCTTTCTAAGACTCCACAGCCAGAGCGCTCAGCAGGTGCTCAGAATCCCTTGAACTGGTTTGGAATTCTGGTTCCTCACAGTCTGCAGCAGGCACAAGCCAGCTTCCAGGAGGGCCTGCAGCTCTCTGCACACATGGCCAGCCTCCAGATCCACACCAACTGGAATCAAAGACAGTTCCAGGAACTCCAAGAGAAAATCAAGCAACTTGAACCTGGTCCTGCTTGACTTGCATCCAGATTTGGGGCCACGTGCACAGCTATTCTCAGACATGGTTACCTTACATCAGGCCTTTTTCCTTTATAGATTCCACTTAAGCTCCAAATACCCCCTGATCTTTGGTGTTTTCAACTTTTTTTAATGTGAAAGTTAAAAGCACTGCTTTAAAACCACTTCTTGTCCCATATTCTCCTATGATATACTCAGTAGGGCAAGTGCAAGGTTCTTCATCTTTATGAAGAGAAGCAGCTTCCTGGATAAATCAGCTGCAGGAAGAATAAGTGTTTTGAGTTCACTGCTTTATTAAAATTTATGTAAAGACAAAGCCATGTAAAATTAACAGTGTAAGCAGAAATACCTGAGTAGATGGAAAACCCTTGGCTTTAAGCTTTGAAGTGAAAAAGCTCTAACTTGGGTTTGTGGGTTTTTTTACATTATTGTTAATGAAAATTTACAGAGACTTTGGATTTCCATTCATTCATTCTTGTACTTTTCTCCCTGCCCACCCTACCCCTCAGTACACTCTTCTTTTTGAAAAGTAAAAGTTCCCCCATTGTTTTACAATCCCTCCCCCCCAGCGTTTTTAAAGGAACTCTATGAAGAAACTCCTTTTTTAATTTCTTGTTCATCAAAAATGAGATGTAGTCTCCTTTCATGTGTTACCTGTTTGAAACCTTCATATTTCTCCTGAGTCATTGATCTTTTTAGGTATTTTCTAGAAGCTTTGGGAAAAATTAGTTCTTTGTTCCTGAAACAAGTATATTTTCCAAGGTTTTGGGTGTTGGGGGTTTTTTCCTGTGGTATTTTTTAAGAATATTTTTTCTTTGTTGTGAAATAAAACATAAAAACATTGCAGAACAGTTATGCACCATGTAAAGAATGTGGAAACAGCCCAAATGTTCAACCACAATGGAATGGATTGAAAAATTATGGTACATTCATAAAATACAATATTCTGCAGCATGCAGGAGAAATTATTCTATAAATTACTGCCTAACTTGGAAGTGAACTAATTCCGTCCCATAAGCTCAAATACCATGTAAGACCATGATTGTAGAAATAAGATAACTAGTAAAACGTGTATGAGAATCCAAGGGGTAGGAGCAGAGGGGTGAGGACGGAGGGCTAACTAACCATAGGGTCGCACAATTTGATGGGGGTGAGTTAAGGAAATGGGAAAGATCGAGTGTGAAAAACAATGTATATGAACTTTGTAAGTAAACCGGTATAAAATAACAATTTATTACAAACACCCACATTGCAGGACAATTGAAAAGCTTAATAAATTAGTAAGGTGAACACTAGAAGAAAAAAAGATGCTAGGAAAGAGCATATCAATGATAGAAATGGGAAGTCCTTCTGAAGGGCCCTTGGTAGTGCAGTGATTAAGCACTCTATTTTCTAGCTAAAAAGTAAATAGTTCAAATGCACTAACACTCTTTACAAAAAGAAAGATGTGGCTTCTATAAATTACTGGCTTGGAAACTCGATGTGCTGTTCTGCTGTCCTATATGATTAACATGCATTAGAATCAAGTAAGTGACCATGGATTCAGTCCTTCTGAATGTCATACTAACTCAATAATAGAGTTAAAGAATCTCTCCAATTAAGGTTATGAATAGACTCATAAGTAAATCTTTCCTAAGGAGAAATAAATTCCATGAGGGCAGATGTCACTCTTTGCCTAAGACTGTGTCCTGTATGCTTAATAAGTACTTAGAGTTGGCATTGCTAAAGGAAAGAAGTGTTCATTTCCTGCACTTGGAAAGTCTTTCCAAATAGGCATTTTAAAATTTGATGGTTTAGTTTTTGTTTGTTTTTTAAAAATGTTTTTCTTTCCAATTAGTAGTGCGTGTTCACAAACTCACACGCTTTAATGTCATGGCCCTGGCAAGTTGCTGTCAAAAACCAAACCCAAGCCTGTTGCTGTTGAGTTGATTGTCAACCGATGACCTTTAAGTTAGGAGTTGAGCTCTTTATCCACTGTGCCACCAGGTCACCTTGAAAATTGCTACAAACGTTTGATTCTCAGTGCTCTGTTTCTGTATATACGCTGTCAGGGATTGGTAAGAATATGTGGACTGGTATCATCTGTGGATCGCATTAACCCACGCTTTTCTCTTGACTCTTTTGTAACCTAGTTGTTTAATTCCTATATAGAAAATAATGCCTCTGATCAAGTAAATTTGGAAAATATGTACATCTGCTCAGTGTTTGCGATGCTGATTTTCATTATGAATTTCCAAATGCAGAGTTTATTTTATGCTCTAAGAAAATCTATTTTCATAGGCTATCTTGAGTGACATGTATTCTTTAAACATTTAAGACATATTAGTCTAAATTATTCATCTTAAAGATTATAATAAGAAGGCTTAAAGATTATAATAAGAGGGCACAGCTCATATGTAATTCAGAGAGGGCTTGTTTTGACAGATGCCAAAAGTGAAATAAGAAGCACAGTCTCCTATGACTGTGCCTTTCTAAGCAAGTCCTATCTCTTCAACTGTGTTTTTTGTGAAAACCACCCAGGAAAGATGACATTTACTCTGCTTCAAATTCTCTATTGGAAATTACAAAAATTAAAAGCTAGCAAAAGTAAAGAAATGGCTAAGTAATAGATGTCAATAAGATAACATAATATGCAATCATAAAATGACAACACAACGTTTGCATTATAATACTCAGTTCATGGCCATCAAGTCAGAACCAACTTATTGCTGATTGTTCGGTGGCTTTTCCAGAGCTGTAATTCTCACAGGAGAACATGGCTTATCTTTCTTCCTTGGAGCAACTGGTGGATTCAAACCACTGACTTTGGGATTGGCAGTGCAACTCCCTATTCACCAGACCACCAGAGTTCTCTGCTTTATTATAATGAGTTGTTATTGTTATGTGCCATAGAGTTGCCTATGACTCACAGCAACCCTATGTACAACAGCTCTGAAGCCTGCTCTGTCCTGACCCAGTCGCACTGACTCCAACACACTTACCCCCATTGACACAGTTACTATATCAGTCCATCTCATCCGGGGTCTCCCTCTCCTGCACTTCCCCTCACCCTTCCGAGCATGATGACCTCCTCCAGGGACCCGTCCCTCCTGGTCACATGCCCAAAGTATGTGAGACAGAGCTTCAAAATCCTAGCCTCCAGGGAGAAACTTGGTTTCACCCTTTAGGGAAAGAATTACATTAAGTGAAAATATTAGAATATAAAATGCAAATATAGAATAATTTTAACTATATTAAAAAGAAACATCGACAGGAACAAAACTGGCATGATGATATTTGCATTGTGAACTCATAGAAGATTTCCTTTTCCTGTTTAATTTTATATACTTGCTCTCCTTCAGTAGGGGAAGGACAAGAGGCATGAAGCATGTTTTATCTGTTTCCGTCTTCTTGGATTGGCTTTTTTCCAATTGTAATTTGTACATCTTTTGAGTACATGTGCATTTTTACAGGTAATTTATTGTCTACTGTGACCCATAGTGACCCCCGAACAGCAGATCTGTACCCTGTGCCATCCTCATCATCTCTGATATTCTTGAGCCCAGTGCTACAGTCACGGTGCCAGTCCATCTCATCAAGGGTCTTCCTCGCTTTCACTGACCCTCCATCTTTCCAAGCATCAGGTCTTCTTCCAAAAAAAAAAATGCCCAAAATATGTGAGATGAAGTTCCACCACCCTTGCCTCTAAGGAGCAAGGTTGCACTTTCTCCAAGACATTTCTGTTCTTTTGGAGTCTGTAGGACATTCAATACTCTTTCCAGCACCACAGCTCAAAGGCATCACTTCTTTAAGCAACTTTATTCATTGACCAGTGACTTTCAGATGCACAGCGAGTAAATGAAAAGTGACAATTGCCTGCAGGCCTCTGTTATTGTGGTATGACGCATGGTGTTTTGCATGTTGCAGGTTTTCATCACGAACGGCTGGATGTGTGACGTTGTCATCGTAGTCGCGGTCACAAATCGTGAGGCCCGCTCTCCCGCCCACGGCATTAGTCTTTTTCTGGTGGAAAATGGAATGAAAGGTTTCATCAAGGGGCGAAAGCTCCAGAAAATGGGATTAAAAGCCCAGGTAAGTCATAATAAATCCTATTCAGGTAATGAGGTTATTATTAATCTGATAGATGCCTTGCATAAATAAAAAATACATGTGGCACAGTCAGTTGTTCTAAGAAAGATGCTTCTTAGATTTAGCCAACCATGTACAGCAGCACTGCAGCTCTCTTTGGTGGGGAGCAATGGAATAAACTAGGGCATTTGAATGTCTGCTTTAAAATTGGCAAAATTGGAGCAGGGCAGTTGACTCTCTTTAGGAAATTAATTGAGAAATATTATGGGGGGGTTTCCTCCTGTGTTTTACATAGTTACAAAAAAGGAAAAAATGTATGTTCAGTATTGATTAAAAATCCTTAGTTTTCCATATGTAAATAGCTGGATAATAGTAGAGTGGAGAAATGCTAAGATTTGGAATTAGGAAGACAGACATATGTTTGAGTCCCTAGTTCACCACAAACTTTTTTTTTAGTTGTAATTAACCATTTCTACTTAGCTTTTCGTTTTTCTTAAATAAGAGTAAAATTATTAACTTTATCAGGTTATTGGAAGACATAAATGAGATCCTTCTCTACTTAATTTTATGTTTGGGGTTTTTTTAGGATACTGCTGAACTGTTCTTTGAAGATGTGCGGTTGCCAGCTAGTGCCTTACTTGGAGAAGAAAATAAAGGTTTCTATTACCTTATGAAAGAGCTTCCACAGGTGAAAAAATGCTTAAAGATGCCATCTTTTTAAGTGAGTAGTGAACTGAGATAGAATAACCTAGAACTATACAAATCCATGCAAGCAAAACTTAAAGTTTAGCCAGAAAATTGAGTACAACTTAAACTATGAAAAAGAAACGTTGTAGACTATGTAAATAAATACTTGAACTACAGGTTATCCAATCAAAACTTTTAAAGTGGGTAAGGAAAAAAAAGTGTTGGTTCTGTGCTTCCTTCTTGAAATGACTATATATCTCTGGATATATTATTCTGTATCTAGATATATACTTCTATATCTAGATATGTTGTTCTTCTTGATTTAAGTCAAGCCTTTAAGCCTTTAAGTCAAGCATGACTCATAATGACCCTATGAACAAAAGGCCTGAAGCCTCTCTACAACTATTGATATCTGTCAAAGTTCATAGAGCTTCTGGAAGCAATTTGTTTAGGATGTGGATGCTGCTTCTGCTTCATATATATTCACACTCACACACACACACACACACACACAGAGACACAGAGAAATATATAGATATATCTATCAATATATCTATTCCTTCTTGGAATAACTGTAAGTCATGAACTTGTAATTCTTTATAGAAAATGTCAGCTAAGACATTTGGCACATTTTAATAGTAATTGAATCAAAGGGAGAAAGGTATTAAGTTTAGACTGAAAAGCCTCCAAGGTCAGTTTCTTTATGTGTCCTTTTGAAGATTAGGTTCACAGGGATCACTGAGCCTCCACTGCCCGTAAAAGGGAGTCACTTGCCTGGTGACAGCCAGTCATAGGCTAAACATGAAAATGGAACAAAGGTCAGGAACACTGGTGTGCTGAGAGGATAGGATAAGTTGGGACTAAAGTGATCATGAGTATTTTTGTACCAATAGGCAGAATTTAAAATGTATATTTTAAAAAGCTAATTTCCACAGAGATAGTAGGATATATTGTACACAGAAAGCAATAAATACAAAATCAACAATTAAAGAATTTTTTACACATCTATAAGTGAAAGAGATGAGAAAGAATTAAATAAATTATATAATATATATACAGTAAGGCCAGTCTTCCCCAAAATAAAATAACTGCTTTGCGGCGTTATTCTTACAGATGTTGTTGTTGTTATGTGCCGTCGAGTCGCCTGCGACTCATAGC